TGCCCAACCCCGTGGGCAGGCTGGGGACCCTGACCTACCGTGTGTCACACGGTCTTGGGACCTCGGGCCTTTCGGGGCCACGCCGCCTTGGGACCCAGGCTCTTGGGGCCTTTTTCGGAAGGATTATTGGGCCATTTGGGGGGCTGCGGGGGCTGACTCGAGACAAGCATGGGATATCATGGGATCACATGGTGTTACCTCTCTCGCGGTGCCGCACTCAAGAGCGTCCAAGACGCCCCAGCAGGCCCCCTCAGGGCCCCCCGAAGGGATCCAAAAAGCTCGCAACACAGCGCCAAAAGAGACTCTAAAGAAGATACGCGAACGGAATTGGGATTTCACACCTCTCCTTTGTTCTCTCTTCTTCTCTCTCTCTCTCTCTCTCTCGTTCCCCCCCACTCCCGGCCCCCTAGACATCTGACCCCAAGAGGACCCCAAGAAGACCTTCAGACGCCCCAAAAATGACCCCAGGAGACCGTCAGAGGCCCACGGCAGGCCCCCAGCAGCCCCGAAGAGGCACGAAGTCCATGAGAGCGTCGATGTCTTAAGCGGGTTCAAACGGCGCCCCCCCCCCCCCGAAGACGGCCTTCGAAACAGCAAGCAGGCACCCGAGACGCCCGCGAGAGGCCACCGAGGGCTTCCAGGAGGCCCATGGGAACCCGAAAAGAGGCCCTGAGAATGCCTCCGAGAGGTCCGCAAGGGGCCCCCAAAGAGACTCCAAGGGGCATTGGAGATGCCTCCAGTCCACAACCCAAACACGGTAGCGGGGTGGGCCGGAGGCCACTAAGACATTGCACATGGCATGAATCTCGTCACGAGCTTCCACAGTGAGGACGTGTATAATCTGCTTGCTTGTCCCCCATCCATTTCGAGTGTCCGCCGAACTCCCGCACCAACGTCATTGCTCTCATGCGCAAGTCGGTATCACAGCCCGACCAAGGCGTATCCATGTGAAGCCATATTCCCCAACACGGCGGGCCCTGCCTTCCTTGAGCCAACTTTCAAGGCGAAGACACGGCAGGCAGGAATATTATTGGCATGCCATCGCCGATGCCGTCGCAAGTGGCGTAAAGACTATGACCACTCTTGCTCGACAAGTGCAAATTGATGCGAATGGATTTCCAGCAACAAACACAATAACAGCAAAAGACCTCCTGTGGTTCGTGGTCTGGGTCGCCCCGAAATCACCGAATCGCCTCGTCGCGCAGTACCTTCGTGAAAACAAGCACGCCGCGAGGCCCATGGTGATCGGTTTTGAAAGGATATGCCGCAAATGTTCCGCCTTTTTGTTTAGGTAAACGCCCTTACTCACGTTGCTCAGTGAGATGACAGAGCCGTTCACTCGCAAGATTGCCGGCAAACTTGCACTGCGTACTCCAAACCACGAAATTCCATGTCAAAGGCAGATTTGGCATCAACGACACATTCATACTGGTAGTCTGCCATCATTATCTCTGAACGTTGCTCGCCCCACGCATGTGCAATCAGCTGCACGCCGAAAAACCCTCCGGCATCAGGCACGAAACCACCGTCTTAATACAATTGCAGTGCCGTCGCAGATTTGGTATGTTCCTTGACGACGTGTGCTCTAAAGTGTCTCCACTACTCTGGGTCACAATTGCATACTTTACCAGCTCATCTGCGCCTGTGTTCCACTCGCGGGTTCTCCCATCTACAAGATCCACGAAATGCGTTTTTTTTATCGCGCCGCAACTAGAAAATCCAGCGTATGTTCATCCGTATTGTTTGCACGTTCGCCTAATACACAATAGTATCGATGTTCAATGTGGCGTTGACCAGTCTGCATACCGTGAGACTGTCCACCACAAATTTTGTCTGCACAAGAATGTTCGAACAGAAACTTGCGGGCCTCGGCGACCATGGGCTAGGTTCCCCGCCTCCTTCTTCCGTTTGTTGGCACAGCCACCTCGCGCAACCTCCCACCAGGCTGCATCGCGCTCCCGGCGTACCAGTGCAATCATCTCCCCGCATCCGCCTTCTCTCAACGTCGCGTTGTCAACGCGCTCCAATACAACTATGTGAAGGGGCTCGAACTTCCAAAAACGATTCCACCGTACCAGCTTTATTTCCGCACGTCTATTATATTGCATTGACTCGTCGTCAGGACCACGCTTCATCTGAAAAAATCGTCTCAAGTGGTTTCGCTCCCATCTGACGACCTCCTTGAACAGGCTCCTCGTCCAATGTATCATAGGACTTAAAAATACGGCTGAAGCTCGGGGCCTAGTTCCCCAAGAACGTAGTTTCAAACTGACGGGGGGCGGTCCCACCAACTGCCAGCGAACCTTATGGTAACGCTGCTCACCCTTCTGGAGACGGTGCCGCAGAAGAGCTTGATCTGGGTGGTAGGTGTCCAACTTCCCCCCAAGGCTTCGATGGCAGCGATCACTGTTGATCTCAAATTTTGGCGCCCAATTGAAACCAAGAACACGGCTTTTGCCAGCTTCCAACCACAACCATACCTATGCTCTATCGCCCAGGCCAGACCTGTCCGCCGATCCGGCGTGTGTGAACTACAAGGAGCCTCAGCAGGAGCTTCAGCTCTGAGCCTAAGCAAGAGCTTCAGCTCTGCTTGGGGGGGGGGTCGCTGGGGTGGCTCTGCCGGGGAAGGGGGGGAAGAGGAGGGGGGGGGGCGGTCCCACATCTGGCGGTTTGTTAATGACTTGCGCGGGGGAGGGGGGGGTCCCCCATCTGGCGTTTTCTTAATGATTTGCGCATCCCCAAAATGTTTCGGGGGGTCCCGGGGACCCCCCTCAGATCTAGCCGCTACCGCCCCGAGGACCCTCCCCTCGGAAACCTGCCCGTACCCCCCCGAGACCGCTCCAGGCACCCCTCCAGAGGGCACGCCAGCTCCCAAAAAGCGTCCCCGACGACTCCAAGAGCGCCATCCCTCCCAAACAGGGCGCGTCAGCTCCAAATAGCGCCCCCGACGACCCCAAGAACGCACCCCCCCACCATCACCGCCTCCACGATCATCATCGTCACCATCATCATCACCATCATCATCACCATCATCATCATCACCATCATCATCACCATCGAGGAGGGAAGAGACCACAGAGCCGCGAAGATTACCGAACCGGGAGCCCCCCGGATCATAGTTCCAAAAATGCTGGCTTCCAACTACAACCATACCTGTGCTTGATCGTCCCGGTCAAACCTGTGTACATGAATTTGTACTCATCGAAAGACTTGGCCACAATAAAATGTCCAGTCCTGTGGCTGAAAAGATCCGTCGGCCCGAGTCTGGCAGGGCAAATCCCAAACCGAAGGTGAACAAATTCGTTGTTGCTAACCGTTTGCATATGCTCCTACAGTCAAGCTAAGACCATAAGGAGCGCTACATAAGGAACAAAGCATTTTTAACCCGCGAAGGCGCCTGGGTGCACGAGGAGCCGCAGAGGAAAAGCCATGGAAAGCTCTAAGGAACAGCGTCTTGACTGTACATGGCTGGCTCCGGCACCATGGAAACGCCAGCGTTGACCTCTCGCCCTCTCCTGAGCAACCCAGCTCTTACCCACGCCGGCTTCAGCCAACATTCAGCCAGCCTGGCCGCCATTGCCTTCCTTTCGACGGCGGCCTTTCGCCCACATCCGCCGAGGGAGAGATCTCAGCCTCTCGATTCCTCGAAGACGAAGCCCACTTTTGGGAACGCCCGACCTCCTCCGGAGCTGCGGGCACCAAGCCCCAGGACTGGCTTATCGCCGCGGTCGTTCTTGAATGGCCTACTACGACAATACTACGACGATGATTATTATTACTACTACTACTACTACTACTACCACTACTACCACTACTACCACTACTACTTCTACTACTGCACTACTACTACTACTACGACGACGACTACTACTACTACTACTACCACTACTACTACTACTACTACTACTACTACTACTACTACTACTACTACTACTACTACTACTACTACTACTACTACTACTACTACTACTACTACTACTACTACTACTACTACTACTACTACTACTACTACTACTACTACTACTACTACTACTACTACTACTACTACTACTACTACTACTACTACTACTACTACTACTACTACTACTACTACTACTACTACTACTACTACTACTACTACTACTACGACTACTACTACTACTAACTACTACTACTACTACGAGACGACGGACGACGACGACGACGGACGACGACGACGACGACGACGACGACGACGACGACGGACGACGACGACGACGACGACGACGACGACGACGCGACGGACGACGACGACGACGACGACGACGACGACGACGACGACGACGACGACGACGACGACGAACGACGACGACGACGAACGACGACGACGACGACGACGACGACTACTACTACTACTACTCCTACTCCTACTACTACTACTACTACTACTACTACTACTACTACTACTACTACTACTACTACTCCTACTACTACTACTACTACTAGTACTACTGCTACTACTACTACTACTACTACTACTACTACTACTACTGCTATTACTACTACTGCTACGGCATCTTCGAGTAGCAGTATTACTACTACTACTACTACTACTACTACTACTACTACTACTACTACTACTACTACTACTACTGATACTGCTACTGCTACTGCTACTGCTACTACGACTACTTCTACCACTATTACTACTACTACTACGACTACTACTACTACTAATAATAATAATAATACTAAGAATAATAATAATAATACAAACAACTACTACTACTAATACAAATACTACGATTACGACTACTACTACTACTACTACTACTACTACTGCTGCTGCTGCTGCTGCTGCTGCTGCTGCTGCTGCTGCTACTACGATGCCTACGTCTACTACTCTTGCTTCTACTACTACTACTACTACTACACTTACTACTTACTACTACTACTACGACTACTACTACTACGACTACGACTACGGCTATACTACTATACTACTACTACTACGACGACGACGACGACGACGACGACGACGA